TACACTTCTAAAAACTCAATTCCAACATCCCTTCAAAGCCTTACAAAGTGATAATGGTCGTGAATTAAAAAATGCGGATTTTCAAACCTACTTCACTAAACACGGCATCCTAAATCGTTTTTCGTGTCCCCACACCTCCCCTCAAAACGGACACGCAGAACGAATGATCCGCACTATAACCAACATGATTCGATCCCTCATCTTTCAAGCTCATCTTCCTCCTACTTATTGTATATATTATATATATACGTAATATATATAATATATACGCTAATACCAACTGTGGACGATTGTCGAATGGTCATTGAGATTTGAAGAATATATTGAGGCAATTTGTATTAAATTATTATTGAATGCATTAGTTTTAGCACAATATATGGAAAACTCGGGGTTATCGTGGAAGTGAAATGGAAATTTGTCAAAAGAACTCCCGCGAGGCTAGTGGGGATGAGGAGCGCTCCGCTCATGATCCGCTTTCGGGATACATAAAATCAGAGACCACCATCTCCAAATCAGGCTGCTAGTCATATGGCATTTGCAATGACTAGGGGTGGAAATTTGAACGAAAATTCCGATTTTCGTCGAATCCGATCTGAAAAATTCCGATTTTGGAACGATTTTTTCAATTCCGAATTTCGAAATTCCAAAAAAAAATCGGATCGGAATCGGAAATACATAACAGAATTTCTGAATTTCCGATTTCCGATCCAAAATTATTCTGATTATTTCCAATTATAATTAATATTTATTACTATATATATTATTTTTTCCGATATATATATATATATATATATATATATATATATATATATATATATATATATATATATATATATATATATACATATTTTTCATTTTTTTTTTTGGAAAAAGTCTGAAAATTACGATTTTCCGAAAATTCCGAAAAAATCGGAATCAAAATCCGATCCGATCCGATCTCCACCCCTAGCAATGACCCAAAATCAGTTTGGGTAATGATGGAAGAAGTTACGAAGAAGGCGGTTGAAGAAGCCGTGGCGCAATTCGTAGCAGCTCAGAAGAAGCAAGAGCATGAATCTCCAAGCCACGTCTCGCGATTCCTCAACCAAACGGGCTCATTCAATGAGGCACGAGATGCACACATGCATGAGACACTCTAGATACCTGGCACATTCTCGGTGAGAGGCTAGTAGCAGAGCCTCTCTCCCCAGGCGAAGGTAGCCCAAGCTGTTGATCAAGAGTCAAATATCCCAATGGGTTGCCGCTTTCATTTTCTTTGTTGAAGGGAGCATCTAATGAATTCTATCAGCTCGGAAAATGAGAGTGTTACCTGCGTCACAAACGCACATAATATTCGGAGCTTGGTTTCTGCGAAAACTCTCTGATACATAAGTCAGTCATCGATTCTAGGAGAAAAACAGTGGAAATCTTTTTCCACTTAAAGTATGTGAAAGTGATTAAAAATAAATTAATTATCTTTATGACAACTAAGTTATTTATATGCTTAGTTAATCTAATTATGATTGTAGCCCCAAATAAATCAATGACAATACCATAAATAATTAAATTTCATATATTGGGCATTCGTTTGTAATTGGGCAATATCTTTAACTATGAGTTTTAACTCATAATATTTTTAGCCCAGTTACATCCGTACTTTTGATTATTCAACAACTATAAGAAAATTATATACATAAATGGACTTACGTCTGGTGTATAATTTTATATCTATTGTCTGATTTGCAAATTATTGCACGAGATTAAAAGTTCATCAATACATCTACATTCAGTGGCGGATGCACCTTTAATAAGTGTGGACTCGAGACAACTCTCAAATTCGAATTATTCCATTGTATGATACTACATTTTTTATTCAGCCCACTCTATTTTCATTAACTAGCCCACACTATATTTTTGGCTATTCCTAAGTGTTTGCTATTTTTCTCAATGGAATCTTGAAAATTCAGAAAACAAAATCCACGGCCAACTCTTCTTGTTAATTTGTTAGTCTCTATATCCAAACTTGTTAACAAACTAATTTTTGGAATAATATATAGTAGCTGATCCTATCCTCCCCTCAAATATTTTACTATGAGATGTACGATGTTGTAAAAGATTTGGAAACGAAATTATTATGCATTACTATAGGGGAAAATTACAGTTTTCGTTTCTCAAGTTTGCACTGATTTCATATTTAGTCCCACATGTTTACAAAAAGACACATTTGGTCCCTCATGTTTCAATAATTTAACACTTTTGGTCCTTTCTGTCAATTTATCGTTAGTCCGTTAGATAAGGCAGTGATGTACACACGCTTGATTCCATTAGTACTAACGAAAAATTGACGGAAAAGACTAAAAGTATTAAATTTTTGAATCATGAAGGACCAATTGTATTTTTTATAAACATGGGGGACTAAATATAAAATCAGTGCAAACTTGATGGACACAAACTGTATTTTTCCCTTTAGGGAATATAGTATACAAATGAGACTTGTCATAGACTCATATATATTAATATTAATGCATTCTCTTATTCGTTAAAAAAAAAAGAAAAAAGAAAAAAGAAAAATCCAATCTGTCATTAATCAAGTTTATATTTTTCAACCGCTGTATCCAAATTGACAAAAAGTTTTTTTTATACCAAATTTAATTTGTTTGATGATTATGCCAACATTGGAATTTTACTACATAACAAATTTTAGGTGAGGAAGATCGCAATCTTTCAAATATTATAATGATAAATTATACAAACTAATGGTGTTTGAAAACAACTCGGTTATTCAAGTAACGTCTGAGTTATGTAGTACGAAAACTTCAACTTCTTAACTTTTTCGCGTTTCAAACACATCTCACGTCGTACACTCGAGGACACCTGTTGAACACCTTATATATGTGCCATTTTGCAATTTCTAAAAAGTTAGAAACATGTTTGAATAACAAATTTTCAAATATATTTGTTCTTTCTCTAATTATTTACACGATTTAATGATCAATTTTAAATTGAAAGTAGATGGTAATATTTATTTCGAATATATAATTTTTTTTTCTATAAATAAATACTTTATATACCCTTACAGTTTTAATATTTACAAGTTTCCCCCAAACTCCCGCATCCCCATTTTTGGAATATACCGTTTTTCCATATTCATTTTCGAGTTTCCCGTATCACCGTTTCTATGTTCATGCTACATAGCGTCTCAGTGTTCAGAAAAACAAATGTGTGATCAGACTAATTAATGTTGTCACTATTCGCATTTAATTCAAGTTATTCAAGCAATTATAACTTCTAAGGATTAATCTAAAACATAATTTAAAGATCAAAACAAGAATTTGTAGTGGTTTGATCTACAATCAGTCAGAGCAGCCAACTCCAATTCACTAGCACAACTTGAAAGAGATTCAAGTTACAGATTACAGTCCCGCAAGGGATGGTCTAGCGGTTGGAGCAAGTGAGTCTTTGTCAATTGACCCAAATTCAAATTTCTTTGCCAACGATCGCTAGGTGGAGTTTGTCACACATAGTTTACCTTCCCACCATACCGAACCGAATAATTCGGTATTTCAAAAATAAAAAACCGTACATGCGGTTTGCTATTCGGTACGGTTTAAAACGGTTCGGTTTTTCGGTTTCTTTGCTCACCCCTACTAATTAAGTGCAATAACTAACAACAAACCCTATCTCTCTCTCACTCGTATTTGTGTGGGTTTGCAAGTATTCTCTCATAACCTTTCTAGTCCTAAGACGCATAAGACATCTATTTATAATAATAGACTTCGTTAGGGCGGCGCGTGGATCGGGTCGGGCAATTATCGCCCAATTACCTACCCGACCCGATCACCCAATTTTACGGAAAATTGAAAACCATTTCCGGCTCGATCATTATGGGTCGAGTAATGGTTGCCAACCGACTTTATCGGGTAAACAATGAGTGGTTGGTTGGTATTATCAACCATCTATTTATTTATTTTTCATTTTTTTTTTAACAATAACAATAGTAAAATGTTTTTAGAAGTTTTTTCAAAAGATATTCAAAAGTTAGGGAAAACTTATGTTGTAAAAATTTTAACTTTTAAATTAAGAGTTTTTTTTTATAAAACTTCTACAATATAAAATAAAGAATATGGAATAAGTATTATAAAATAGATATAGTACGGAGAGGTTTATAAATTTGTGTTTTGAGTTTTAACTTCTTTTATATATTATTTTAACATTAGAAAAATAAGAATTACAATTAAATATATATAATATATAAATTTTTTTATAAAAAGTCGGTTGGACGATATTACCCGATCAACCGACTTTTGAGTAAACTGAAAACCACCGACCGACCCATTTATATATGGGTCGGTTAAAATTACTGGCCCGACAACAAAATTATCGACCGAAAGAAGCGGATCAAAAGTGGACAATTGACCGATAAAACTGACCCATGTCCAACCCTAGATTTCGTTTAAGCTATATAACCCCAGAATTGATCATTCCTTTGGGTGCTCAATTTAAACTAACTTCAATCAATGTGCAAACTTGGAATTGGTAGAACCTTTGTCATATATAGCATCAGATTTTGAGTTTGTTCTTGGTTTTTCTTTACCTTTTGGAATTCTTTTATTTCTAAAAACAATTCCCGCAGCTGACCACGGTCAATGTCGGTCTTCGACATTAACTTTTATTTTCTTATTTTATTTATTTTTCTTTTTGAATTTGTTTCACAAATTTTTTTTTGTCACCATTGACCGGTCAACAAAGTGATATTGTTGTCTAGCACAATACAATAATATTATTGTCTAATATAATAATATTAATTTTTCAATACTTTTGTTTTGGTTGTGTTCACCGTCAACAAAATAATATTATTGTGTTACACAGTAATATTAAAAAATATTATTATATTCAAAAGCAATATACTTAATATTGTTATCTAGTACGGCAATAATCTTTGAACTAGTTCGTAGAAAAAATTATTACGTTTTAAATACACTCTCATTAACACATAGAAATTTGCAGTAAAACAAGATCTATCATCAATCCGGCGTACTTTCATATAAATTAAAACAGCATCTCATCATGCACACATATACAAACAAAAACACACAAACAGATACACATAATATTACAACTGGAGATGCTCAATTATTCGAATTTTAGAAGGGTTTTTTTTCATTTATTAGACCCCACAATATTCCTTTAGCGCGCTTTTAGAAGTCTGACCGGCTTGAGTGTAGTAAAAATCGAGAAACTGAACATGATCGTAGGGCTTGAAGAGTAACGGGTGCTCTTCATCCACCAATTCTTCGGGTGCTTTAATTATGTATCCCGATTTCGGGACTGAAAATAGTCCGATCGAGTACCTTGCTTCTTCTCCGGTCATCATTACCCTGTGATATGGAGGGTAAAGTCGACCATTCGTCCATGCCTGCATAAATAACTTGATTAAGTATTCATCAAAACTACATATATTGATATGTTGCTCCGATCCCTCCGTTTCTCTTTTTAAGTGTCGTTTAAGGTAAATGCACACTGATTAAGAAAATTATTAAATAGTCTTGATCGGTAGGGGGGAAATTTCTTATTTGACCAGATTACCCTTGTGGATTTTCATCGTCTTTTTGTCATTTCATTAGTTTATCATTTCATTACTGATGGGGTAAAGTTGGAAAAAAAAAATTAATTATGCTTTGAAACTCTAAAGTGACACTTCGATGGTGTTTGGCTAACCTTATAAGATGTTTGTAGGAGCTTATAAGATGTTTAAGAGCTTATAAGCTCTTCCAAAGTGGTTGGTAAATTTTTCAAAAAAAATCTTAATTTTTTTTAAATAAGCTGTTGGAGAGCAAATAAGATCTTTTCTAATAAGTACCTCTACCCCATCTTTTTATTAAAAATCTTATAATGAGTAATCTTATAAGATCATTATCCAACACTTTAAAAATTAATTATAAAAATAAGATGTAACAACTTATCAACTCTTAAAATATCTTATCAGACGTAAGAGCTTATCTGCTATTTGAAATAAGCTTAGCCAAACGGGTCCTTAATATGAGAAAAAGAATCTAACGCTAAAGACACTTAAAAAGAATTGAAGGGAGTATGGGTAAGATCTTCCTGCATTGATCGAATCGGTAGTTACTACAACCATAAAACATTTATAAAAGTTAAGTTGTCGAAAACTTACATGGAAAGATTCACCGATCATGACAATGAAAGAATCGGGTGAGGGCTGAGCAGTGATCCATTGTCCATCTTTTGTGAGAACTTCTAATCCACTTACCGTATTTTGATACAATATCGTCATCGTGTTCTTGTCCGTGTGGGAAGACAATCCAAGCTTAGTTTCGTCGGTTTGAGGTCCATCGTACTTTTGAACTCGAACAAGGTATTTCGTCGAATCTATGTGTTCGTCGACGTACTTTTCGAGCCCGAGGCTCTCCACTACCATTGTCCTCATAATCTTGTCCAATTCGGACAATTGATCCGAGAATGATTGTACAGTTTGGCTGGTAAAAAAAGAAGGGGAAAAAAAATAAAAAAATGAAAGTGAATATTATAATCGGATGCACTAATTGAAACTGTTTTGATTAGGGGTGCAAGTTGGAACGGATTTTCCAATTTCCGCCGGTTCCGATCCGAAAAGTTCCGATTTTGGAACAACTTTTTTCATTCCGACTTCCGAAATTCTGATTTCCGAAATTTTCCGTTTTTTTTGGATTGGAATTGGAATTATATAAAATAAATTTGGAATTTCTGATTTCCGATCCGATTTAATTCCGAAATTAATTCCGAAAAAATCGATTTTTTTCCGAAAAATACACCTTTAAATAGTATATATTATATAATACTTATTTTCCGAAATATACACCTATAAGTTTTGTTTTAGGATTTTGACATAATGAATTGTTATTAGAAGTTTTATTGGATATTATGTTGTGTTTATTTTTATTTATTTTTTTGAACTGAAATTTAGTAGTTATTAGTTTTACTTTTATCGACGTGGATGCTCTTATATTCGAAAAATTATGAACATTTTAGAAAATTTCGGCTAAGTTTTGAAATTTTAAAGCTTATGTGATTTCCGATTTTTTTCCGAAATTCCGAAATTTCCGGGCCTTTTGGAATTGGAATGAATTTTTAGATTCCGAAAATTTTGGAATTGGAATTGGAATTGATTTTGTACTTCCGAAATTTTTTGGAAATTTTCCGAAAAGGCTAAATTCCGATCCGATCCATCCGACTTTCACCCCTAGTTTTGATTGAAAATTCACAAAATATAATTTTTTTTTTTTTTTTTTTTGAAATCCTAAGATAAGTCAAGTTTATGGATTAAAAATGTCACAAAGCTCCAAAACAATTTCAAAAACAAGACAAAAAATTATTCTTATGGGCCAAATTAGAAACCTATAAAATATACCCAATCAATCGACTTTGCATCCTCCCCCTTGCATAGAACTTATCGAAATATTATCATTTTTCCCTTGCTTCCCTCCGCAATAATTTTCCCTCAAATAATATTATATTTCAAAAAAAAAAAAAAGTTTAGTGCAGTTAAACTTCTATAAATTAATAACGTTTGAACTAGCGAAATTCTATTAATTTAGCGAAAAATTAAATTATCATATTAATAATTTAGCACATTTTTATCGAGTGAATACACTAATTTAAACAAAAAAAATGTCGTCTCTCTAGTGGTAACTTATTAATGCTATAAAGTGATAATAAAAGGAGATCATCACTTCTATTAGCTAGTGACCGTAAAAAATGATTATGTGACAACAAAACGAGTTATTAGTGACAATATGTTATCACTTAATATAAGTATTTAGTGGCAACTTTTGATAGTGTCACGATTATGGCGGTATCATTAATTCCAGTTCTTCTTGTAGTGCAATATATTATTATGTAACCGACAGTATTAACTTATTGAGTGTTAATTTATCGAGGTTCTACTGTATCTTTAGACTTATTATTGAACTAATTAATTAGAAGAAAGATAAGTAGTGGGACGAATTGAAGTACGTAAATACCTAAAAGCGGGATTTCCTTCGGACCACATGAGATTGGTGAATGTTTCGATATTTCCAGGGGAGAGCACATCGTCGATTCCCAAGCTTTCGTACAACGGAACCATTGCATATTGTCCAACGTAACCATGGTAGGGTTTGTTGGACCTATTACGTAGTTTGTTTTGCAGAGGGAGATCAAAGAGTTGTTGCAAAACATCGAATATTGATTTTCGAAGATGGAGAGGAATTTGGTCGTATTTGGCCTCAAAGCAACCGTACTCTTCGAGAGCTTCTCTCACTTGGGTTTTCACGGATTCCCAATTTGGTGTTTCTCGTTTGAGATCGGAGAAATCTATGATTGGGAGCTGCATGCTTTCAGAAACCATCTTTCGTTTTTTTCGAATATTCTCTCTCTCTCTCTCTCTCTCTCTCTCTCTCTCTCTCTCTCTCTCTCTCTCTCTCTCTCTCTCTCTCTCTCTCTCTCTCTCTCTCTCTCTCTCTCTCTCTCTCTCTCTCTCTCTCTCTCTCTCTCTCTCTCTCTCTCTCTCTCTCTCTCTCTCTCTCTCTCTCTCTCTCTTTTGGTATGTAAGTGTGCAGTAGAAGAAATGCTCTTTTGTTTGAATAGAACTTCATCAAATTTTGTTGAGTTATTTATAGAATAAATAATTTTTTCAATTGCTATACCATCCAAAGAGGTAAGGGATGGGGTAGGGGAATTATTATTAATTCCAGCTCTATACGTATTATTTTAGTATTATATGGTAGATGCGTATCTTTTGAACAGTAGAATTATATTGTAGGCGATGAGGATAACTATAAAAGAAATTTAGCGAGAACACCAATCTAGGAAATGTAGTTAAAGAAACATCCTCTCCTCTCTGAAAAATAAGTAGAGAAAATTCTCTTAGCTAATATTTCACCTAAATGATATTTTCATAATTTCAAAATTACCCTTATTTGAGTATAATTATTTTTAATCCTCATTATTTATCATTTTTCCATACCTTTTTTTTTCCTTTGCGCCGTTTCTCTCGCTTTCTCTTCTCAACAGATCTCAGAACACTCTCTCCCCCTCCGCCACCATCATAACCTAAATCACGAACAACTTGTGGAAATCCACGGTAGAGAGTATGGCGACGACTCGGCGGAGGATCCCGCGCTCGCGAATACCCCAAGTAGTGTTCCCCTTAAACACACTTTCTCGAGTTTGCGAAGATTTATTCTTCGTCGCCGCAGGTTATGGATTTTTAATTTGATTTTCCTGCCTCCTTTTGGATATGGTGGTGGTCATGAAGAAATTTGGATTTGGGTGACTTTGTATTTTGGTGGTTTTGATGGTGGTGGTTTTGTTTGGGTTGGTGGTGCGGGTTGTAATGTATTTTACTTGTAATTAAAAACCGTCAGAATATGGAAGTGTGGTGGTGATGGTGTGGTGTGGTGGCGGCGTGGTGACGACGAAGAGCAGATCTATGATTTTTTGGTAGATAAGGCGGAGGACGGCGCGGGTAGAGAAATTCGCGCAGGCTGAAACCCTTAATCGATTATGTATTTTTTTTGTAGTCGATTAAGTTAATCGACTATGCTCTGGTAGTCGATTAAAGTGTTGATCGACTGTTTTAATATAGTTGATTAAGGTTTTTGATTTCATTTTTTAATTCATTTTTGGATTTTTGTGGATTCCAATTTGTATAAATCAATTACGATTTATGTATATAATTTGTTACGTAAAAATAGCGTCGATTTTAATTTTTACATAATTGTGTTTATTTTTGTTTTGAGTAGTCAATTCCTTAATTGATTATGCTTAATTCACATAGTCGATTAATATATCTGATAGAGAAAAAAAAAAATTAATTTTTTTTAAAAAGTTAAAAAAATTTAAATTTTTTTGAAATTTAAAAAAATTAAAAAATAAAAAAATAATAAAAAATTAAAAAAATTAAAAAATAAAAAAATAATAAAAAATTAAAAAAATTAAAAAGATTAAAAAATTAATTTTTTTTTAAAATGGCTTATAAGGTGGTAGGGACGTAATTGGTACTAGTGTTGATGAGGTGGCAGGGACATAATTAAAAAAAGGGTAAATTACACACACCCCCTTGAGGTAAGCTTAAATAACTGTAAGGTCCATGTGGTATCGATAATTACACTCAGCCCCCTGAAACGTAGTCAGAAACTCTAATGGGATAATGAATTGGATACGTTATTCCGATAGGGTTCTAACGGACTATTGGTTTCAGAAAGTGGTGGAGACAACAAAGAGCTATGGGTGATTTAAGAAATAATAAAAATAAAAAATAAACAAATAAAGTTCCTACCTTAATTTTGTCTCAATTTATTTTTTTACTACAAAGAAAATATTAAAAGACTAATGTGAGGGCAACGTGCTAAATAAATTAATAAATTTTAATAATAATAAATTTTAGGTGAGGAATCGCTGTCTTTTGAATATATATATATATATATATATATATATATATATATATATATATATATATATACTATAGAAAATAATGATGTTTGAAAACAACTGAATTATTCAAGTAAGGTCTAAAACATTGAGAAATTAAGGTGCAAACAAATATATGATTGGACCATTGTTGTCACTATTCAATTATCATTTAATTTAATACATATGCTAAGCAATAATTTGAGATGTTTTGTTTTATTATTCATGTGTTCTTTTTTATTACATATATAAGGACAACATGGGAGAGATAAAAATAAAATTATTTTCAATATTTGGTCCCCCTTCTATTATAAAACTTTTTGGTCCCTACTCTCCCATTACAAATTAACTATTGTTTTCGGGAACTTTTCGTGTGCCAATTATCTGTCAGTTTAGAATTTTAATAATGCATTTATTACCAAATTTTCAATTTTACCATTTATCAATCTTAATAATTTAAAAGAAAATTAGTAGAAACAAAATTAAGGGACAAGGTATTTTAGTCCCATTTAATGATTTTTTCTATTTTAAATCAACACATATTTATTAATTTTCTTAATACTCACTATGAACTAAAACCGATATTTATTTTGAAACGAAGGGAATGATTCTTATAATTTCATCAAGGTCGATAATGATGTGAAGTGTGAACAAACCCTGGGCAAAATAATAAAGTATGTCCTTAAATATACGCTATATATTAAACGTGAAATAATAAAGTATGTCCTTAAATAATATATGCCATTGGACGGTTACATGAGACATTGTGACATAAAGGACTAAAATGAAACTAGATATGAAGATGAGGGACCATCACTAAGATTTAGCCAACTTTGTTTCACTGTTTTATTATTTGGGTGTTATAAATAAACCCATTAATGGGTATTTATTTATAAAGAGATCCAGATAATAAATTCTTTTACAAATGAGTCCACACATGGTCCAAATTTTTGTTAATATGCTCCGATTTCATCATTAATTTAATTTAACCTTAATTTGACCCCAAATTTCACAAATTATTAAATTTTGACCCAAAACATATTTTTATGGACAATTTCGTCCGTCACAGCCGTTGACCGCCGGTCTCTGGCGTTGACTTTTTATTTTTATTTTTATTTTCCGGATGTTTTCGCCGGTTTCCGGCGTTGACTTTTTTCTCTTTTTTTCGCCACCGGTTTTCGACGTTTACTTTTTGAAAAAAAAAAAAAATCTTTGTTTCTTTCTTTCTGTAACATTTTTTTTCCGTTTAAACAACAATATTGCTGTGATTGACAGTAATATTAACTATATTACTGTTAAACACAATAAAATTAACTATACTACAGTTTAACACAGTAATATTGCGATATTAATCTCTAGCACAGTAATATTAACACAACAAACTCATTATTATTGTGTAATAAAGTAATATTACTATGTTGACCGTTCAACAAATGTAAACATAATAAAAGGCCAAAAGAATTAATATTACTGTGAGTGACAGTAATATTACTATAACAACAGTAATATTATCACGTTACTCCGTAAATAACTCAAACAAACAAAAAAACCCAAACAAAATAATAATATTGATGTGGTTGACATCAATATTACTATAACAACAGTAATATTACCGTCAACCACAGTAATATTATTGTGTTTACAGTAATATTACAATAATAGACAGTAATATTATTACGTTACTCCGTGAATAACTCAAACAAAACAAAAAAACCCAAAACAATAATAATATTGATGTGGTTGACAGTAATATTATTGTGTTTACAGTTATTTTACTGTCAACGACGGTAATATAATTACATTGACTTGTCAACAAATCAAACAAAATTAAAAAAAAATAACAAAAAATAATAATAATAATAATAATAATAATATTACGTTAATTTACTGTCAACGGCAGAACAATTACATAAATGTATTGTCAACGGCAGTACAATTATGTTAATGTATTGTCATTGACACTATAATTACGTTAATTTACTGTTAGTGACGGCACAATTACAGTCAACGTTTAGCGGTCGTTGACGTAAAAAAAATAATGAATAAATAAATAAAAACACTAAAAAAAATTAACGCCGGAATCCGGAGGCGGAAAAAAACAGACCAGGAAAAAAAAAAGTCAAAGCCGGAGACCGGCGGTCAACGCCGGAATTCGGCAGCAGAAAAAAACAGACCAGAAAAAAAAAAAGTAAAAAAAAAAAAAATCGGAAAGTTAACGCCAGAATCCGGCGGCAAAAAAAAATTTTGAAAAAAAAAAGTCAAAATTGAATTTTTGTGCTCAAAATTAATTAAATTAGGGTACAATTAAGAATTTGGTATAAAGGGTTGTGGTAATTTTGTCATATACATGAATGTTTCATTTATTTATAATAAACTAGCATTTTTTCCCCGTGTGATGCACGGGATATTGTTTCAAAAATGAAAAAAATAATCAATTTAATTCATAATAAGAAAATATAGTATACTAATATAGTAAAATTTAATAATAAATAGTTACAAAAGTACCATTAGATAGGATTCTTCGGGATTTAGTTTCAATTTTGATAATTGTTAAAAATTATAGTTAGAAATTAGTAGAGAAAAAAAATATTAAAAATATTTAATTACAAAAATACTATTAGGGTTTTTTAGGGTTGCCCAGCGTTTCTTTATTTCATATATAAGATATTAAAGGGATGGGTTTATGATGAAAGAGATATAGCTCACAAACCTACAATGATAAAACTGTTTGGTTAGGAACCTATGCACAAAAACCTTATTATTTTTCAATGTTTTCAAACCCGGACCGGACCGGCCGGTCCGACCGGTTTAACTGCGAACCGCTCACCGTGCCGGTCCGGTCCAGTGCTAAAACCGTGAAGGCTCAAAAAACCGGTTCGAATGCTAAGAACCGGGAAAATCGGTCAGAAAACCGGTTGGACCGCCCATAAAACCGCAAAAAACCGGTTCCATTAAAGTTGAAATGAGAGACAGAGAGTGTAAGAAACTTACATTGGCAATAGCAGTGGTGGTGGAGCTAAAGGAAGAAATGAGTAAAGAAAGCTAAATCAAACCAACATTAATAGTGAAAGAAAAACAAAACCGAGAAAAAAACCATCACATGAGCAGAAGAGAGGAGAAGAAGGGGTAATGGGGGATGAGGGAGGCGCATGAGCAGTTTGGTTTGACTAGGTAGGACAAAATTAGGGTTGGACTTTGGGCCTTGGGATTAAACAAGTGATTTTTATTGAAGTTTTAGTGTAAATTGTTTTACTACTTTTTATTCTTTTGACAAATAATGTTAATTAATACTTACAAATTTAATTTGACTATTCAAACTCCAAATGTATTTTAGAGGCATATGAAACACAATTACGTATTTGCTAATAGAATGCGTATATTTTTTTTTTTTCTAAGTTTCTTGTTTAATAAATTATTTGAACATTTGTATTTCCATAATGTATGCATCTTTGTATTTTATTTTTTATTGTGAATGATTAGTGAGTCATATAATAATCATTAAACGCTTAAAATGATGCTTTATTATGAATATATAAGTATATTTTATATCATAACCACTTTAAGTTATATAAATAATTTAAATTTTAAAAAAATAAATAAAACCCGGTTGAACCCCGGTTGGACCGGTCCAACCGTGACCCAGTTGCTTGACCGGTTCGATGTCCAGTCCGGTTTTCAAAACATTGTTATTTTTTAACCGATTTAATCATCTTTGATCGATTTAACCGTGATATTATTATCTAATACTTGAGTATTTTAACTCAATTCTTATTGCTTTAACATACTTTTGCTAAAGTTATCATTTGTTTCCTTGATTTTAATTCCTAAAGATATCATTTTGTTTCCCGTTTTAATTTGATCATTTTTGCTCATTTTTGTTGTTGTTGAGGTGTGATATGCCTAATTGGGTCAACCCAATGGGCTTATAATTTATTTATCTACTGGGCCACGAGCCCAATATTTAAGATCACTATCACCAAGGCCCAATCACCTTCAAGTAAGGTTTGGGTCCGACAATCTCAACTAAGCTATAAATAATCATTTGAACTCATTCCTTAAGGTACGTCCTATTAACCGAGCAATACTATCAACTGTATTCTCTGGACTATTTCCACTATCCGCACGTCTGACTCGCTCGGTACTACAACCCATAGCGAGACAACTCCCATAAGGAGCCAACTCGCTCGACACTATGAACCCCTTGAAAGGCAACTCCCATGAAGAGCCACTTCGCTCAGTAATAAGATTCGTTGCGAAACAACTCCAACGAGGAGACAACTCGCTCAGAGCGACCTGAATCCGCATGCTCCCCAGTCGCACGTCCAATGCTCCTACAACTTCGCTGCGAGACAACTCCCATGAGGAGACAACTCGCCCGAAATTCCCTATATAATCGCAAGCTCAAGTTAGCACGATTACAAACCTAGAAACACTTAGAGATATTATGGGAATCTATATAGCCTGGCCAGTTTGATTACTCAAATTTATCTACTTGTTTTCGATGGGTCCTTCATTAAAACGTGGCCACGGTCCAAACATACTTACGACCCACGAGGTCTAACAAGGGGCACGATCCCCATAAAAAAAAAAAATCATGAGAGCATGATCCCCTCCTCAAGTACATCACGCTCAAGGCTATATGTAAACTCATACAAGCAAACATTGACAATGTCGATAAATAACAACTCCCACGAGGAGAATACTCGCTCCGTGCTACTACATTATCGCGATACAACTCCCACGAGGAGCAAACTCGATCAACTCTATAACCCCACGACGAGACAACTCCCACGAGGAGATAACTTGATCTGAGCTACTACATCGTCGCGGGACAACACCGACGACTCAAGTAACTTACATCGCGACAGCTTGGTCGCGCTACGCGCCAACGCGCCTTCACGCCCCTCCGACACACGCTCTAACGCGTTTTCGCACACCATCAGGCCATATTTCAACTACAATATTTACTCTCGACACGATCTGGCACCCATTTCAACATGGCCCCCACATCGACTCGAGAGTGGGGGGCTTAATGATATGCCTAATTGGGCCAACCCAATGGGCTTACAATTTATTTACCTACTGGGCCACGAGCCCAATATTTAAGACCACTATCACCGATGCCCAATCACCTTCAAGTAAGGTTTGGGCTCGATAATCTCAACTAAGCTATAAATAATCATTTGAACTCATTCCTTAAGATACGTCCTATTAACCGAGCAATACTATCAACTGTATTCTCTGGACTATTTCCACTATCCGCACGTCTGACTTGAGGAAGGGGTTTTCCGCCGGATCAACCCCCGGCGTAGTTCACGTGTTCTATGATCGCAGGTATCTCAAGGTCATCAAGCTCGTGAGCCAGTGATCCACTCTGCTCTTCCAGCTCATCATATCTCAACTATTTAAGGTGATCTAACTTTAGTATCATCAAGGTGTCTTCCAAGTAATCAATAATTAACGGTAACAATTGGTATCCTAATTTATCTAGAGTCATAAAAGAAAATTTCCTTATCAAAGAAGGAACTCTTTCTTTGGGCCCAAGTAGTAGATCATTCTTTTGCTTATAAAAGAAGATTTGTGATAACTGAATTGCAAGGGATGCAGAGCGCAAAATATAGAAATCCAGATCAAAGATAGAAGAGAAAACACGGGAGAAACAATAGAATGAGAGAATAGGAAAATTGTAGAACAAAATAGAGAGATACACAAGAGAAAAGATAGTGTAGGATAACTGTTTTGTACTTTGTAATTCTCGAATATTGTTAGTGTTTGATTACTAAAAGGCTCTCCGGCAACAGCCCAACTAGATTATCTTCCATGATCAGAAGCCAGTTGCGGATCGTTTCCTCCGAGCTTTTTCCAGCAGCTCTGATCTCCTTGTACAAGCCTTCAAGAGTTTTCAAACCCGCATTTTAGACTAGGCCCGGTTACTTCGTACAATTCTTCTTTTGGCATAGTTAGAGAGTCACCCACGTAGATAGGGTTTGTCCGTTCGTACAGTTCTATTTTTGGCACAGTTTGAGTTGTACGCTTACACTTTATATGCGTGGAGGAACCCAAGGACGGATGAGATTACTCTCTTAGCTCTCTCATTCCATTTGGGTTCTTCCCGTTATTTTGATTAGTCTCCCGTACAGATTTTAGGCTCCCTATTTTCCCCTTTTTGATAGCTAATTTTGTCCTTTTGCCTTCTTTGAATATATATTTCAAGATGATAGCATTTTGTAGGTTTGCTATCAATCTATTGACTCATTCCGCTTTCTGTTTAGGCTATTTCTGGATTGTTGACACTTTGTAAGATTCTTTTTATTTCATTTATGATAGTGTGGCGACCGTTGCCTAAGTCCCCCGCTGCATAGGCGACTTTTGACTTAAAGAGTAGATCGCATAGTCGCATGTATGATGAATGGTTGAGTGATGCTATAGTATCTTTCTTGAAAGTGACATCTCCGGAGGAATTGACAATGACACAGTAATGAATAGTTTTTAGATAGTGAAAAGTCGAAATTAAAAGGCCAGTTGGTAACTTGTAAAGAGATTGCATGATTATATTTTGAAATGCAACTTCTAAGAATTTGATTAACGTTATTTAGTTAAAGTTCTTATTTAGTCATTTGTTTTGTAGTAGTTAATGCAAAAACAAAAAAAATATTAATCATGAATACATTTTCGGAGGCGCTGTCCCCGAACTCTTGCCTTCAATTACATCAGAAAATGACTG